AAATAAAAGGAAATGATTTAGAAAATAAGTAAATTAAATTTAAATTTAATTTTAAAAAGTGGAATAATTTTAAATAACAAGAAAGAGTGGTCAGGCTAATTTCCAGCATGTAAGAGTAAATTTTATAGTTTTATTGCTGTTTTACAAAGTGCCAGAATTGTGAGCAAAATTTTTCTTTTGGATATTTTGTTTGATTAAAATCAATAAAATAACTTCAAAAGATTCTGAAGGTTTTGTTTTTATTGTTTTGTCTTATGGGTTTATTGTTATATTTAGACCTTGACTGCTAAACTAAAAGCTGTGTGATTTTTCTCACAGTGGCTTTTTTTTATTCTTGAGTAAAACATGCAAAGTAAATATTTTAATGATTTATCTTTATGATTACTGACATCAGGTCTTCCTGACATTTGGGATAGCATTCTGGAGAAGTGGTTGAAAGAAGGTTTCATTAAACACAAACCCGACCAATTGACTGTTAACCAGTATGATCCTGGGCATGGTGAGTATTTTCTTATTTCCACACTGCAATCATATATTTCATAACTGAGTAGATTCTTTAACTCCCTAAAATCAAAGATATGATTTTTTAGCTTAAATTAACTCTTCGCAGTAATTTGCTTATGTTTGTTACCTGTGTTGACTTTAATCCCTTGCAGATTTACATGTTAATCCCTTGAAGAACTCGTGTCTCAGAGTGTAGATAAGTAGACTGACACAGTTGCTGTTTGTGATTTTTTTTTGTTTGCTTCTCAACATTTCATTTAGAGAGGGAGGAGGTTGTTTCAAAGACATAGGAGGCACGTGTAGTAGAAGAACCACATAATTTACAGATACCTAGAAGAAGGCTGCTTGGTTGGATGGTCTTGTTCTTCTTTCTCCTCTGAGAATGTGAAGACAATTCTAGGATGATATGTTAGTAAAAATCTTTAGGCTCCTGAGTTTTTTGCACTTAGTAGCAGCATCTTCATGTGATATTTGTAGTAATGAAATGATCGTAAGGATTTTATCAGTGGCAGACATCGTGGGGTTTTGGGTTTTTTCCTGCTCTTATCATAATGTATTGTAATTACATATTTAGCTGTCAGTCTTTCTGTTGGTCTGTGTGCTCCCTGAGGACAGGGATGTGTCCTACCTGCTTTACATGCTCTTACCACGTAGCAAATTCTTTTCCTTGGGAGATGCTCAGTTAACGTAGATGAGAAGTTGATGGAGGAAGCCATATCTGAATGAGGGATATGCTTAGTCTTCACACCTGGCTCTTGCTTTTGTTCTGCATGTACCTGGGAATCCCACGTTCATGGGCCCACGTGACTTTGGTGTTTCTCTGTCGCATGTTCTCTTGGGCTGGGCTTGGGTAGGTGCCTCAGGCAAGCCGTGGCTCTTGCGTCTTGGTTTCAGAATGGCTGCCAGTGGATCTTCAGCACCAGCTGGAGATATTTTCAGTTCAGGTTTAGCTTGATTTTATGTAGTCACATTCACCCCAGATGTTTCCTTTTAACTAAAATTGCAGTACCTTCCTGAGAACACCAGACAGTGCTCTCCCCAGTATAGTGTGAGGCCGCATGTGTCTTAAATCTACTGAAAGGAAAAGTGAAGTGACCTGTTACTTTATTTTCTATCCCAGGAATTCCTGCTCATATTGACACACATTCTGCTTTTGAGGAGGAGATTGTTTCTCTCAGTTTGGGGTCAGAGGTAAATGTTCACACATTTTCATTAGCCATCAACGACTGTCTTACCTTATACGATGCTGTTTGCATGGGATTTCTTAATTAAATGAGTTAGGATTTAAACATGGGAAGTAAAGGTGCTATATTAGTGCTTTCATTTCTTATAACTTTGTTTTTTTAAAGATTTTATTTATTT